CCCCCCAACCCAATCCCACTACTACTCACCCTATGATCACCCGGTCCAAAGTCGGCATATCTAATCCCAAACATATCCTTACCCTTAACTCCATGGCCCAAATTTCCCCACTCCCACCCACCTATCGTAGTGCACTAAAGGATCCAAACTGGTACAATGCTATGTGTGATGAATTTAATACCTTGATTAAAAACGAAACATGGGAATTAGTACCCTCCTCCCCCTCACAAAATATTATTACTGGCAAATGGCTTTTTCGCCACAAATTTGGTCCTACAGGTGAACTGTCCATGTACAAAGCTCGATGGGTGGTTCGTGGATTTAATCAGCGCTATGGCATCGACTACGACGAGACATTTAGCCCTGTTGTTAAACCAGCCACGGTTCGGATTGTTCTCACTCTTGCTTTATCTCGCGGCTGGCCGATTCATCAGCTAGATGTCAAGAATGCTTTTCTGAATGGTACACTCCATGAGAGAGTCTATGCCTGCCAGCCTTCAGGTTTTCAGGATCCCGCTCGCCCATATTTTGTATGCAGGTTGAAGAAGGCTCTATATGGGCTCAAGCAGGCCCCGCGTTCTTGGTATCACCGGTTTGCAGGTTTCCTTCTCACGTTGGGCTTTCGGGGCTGCAAAAGTGACACATCCCTCTTGGTTTACTCTCATGGCTCTAACATGGCTTATCTTCTTCTTTATGTGGACGACATAGTTCTCACAGCCTCCTCCACTGCTCTCCTCACCCGCCTTACTCAGAAACTTAAGGGCGAGTTCGCCATGACAGACATGGGGGACCTCAATTTTTTCCTTGGGATCAATGTTCAGCGCACTGGCGGCGGCATCTTCCTTCACCAGACACAGTTTGCCCATGAAATCCTGGAATGTGCTGACATGCTCCACTGCAAGCCCATTTCTACGCCAGTCGACACCAAAGCAAAGCTGTCAGCCACGTCCGGAACACCACTTCTGTACCCCTCTATATACAGATCCATCGTCGGTGCCTTACAGTATCTTACTTTCACTCGGCCTGATCTTACATATGCAGTCCAGCAGCTCTGCCTCCACCTTCATGCCCCCCGCAGCACCCATCTTACAGCCATGAAGAGGGTTCTACGCTACATCCATGGTACTGCTACTCATGGCATCACACTTCACCGGACGGGCACAGATTCTTTGCAGGCCTACTCCGATGCTGATTGGGCTAGATGCCCCGATACTCGTCGCTCCACCTCGGGGTACTGTGTTTTCCTTGGAGACAACCTTATCTCATGGTCCTCCAAGCGCCAGGCCACCACCTCCCGCTCCAGTGCTGAGGCCGAGTATCGTGCCGTGGCAAACAGCGTAGCTGAGGCAAGCTGGGTCCGAAATCTTCTCCTTGAGCTTCAACAACCCCTGCGGCGTGCCACACTGGTCTTTTGCGACAACGTCAGTGCTGTGTACCTGTCATCAAACCCAGTACAGCATCAGCGCACCAAACACGTAGAAGTCGACATCAACTTTGTCAGAGACAAGGTTGCCCTAGGACATGTCAGAGTATTACATGTCCCCTCCTCTTCTCAGTATGCAGATATTTTCACTAAAGGGCTTCCATCTCTTCTCTTCTCCGACTTCAGACATAGTCTTGGCGTCCGTCCTTCGCCGGTCACGTAGTTGGGTGCATGTTAAATATATTATGTATATATTTAATATTAATTATGTGATTATTGTAATTATGGTAGCTTACATGTATAGGTTTCCTTACGTAATTAGGAATCCTCTGTAACTATTTATACAAGGCTTCTCCCTCATTATTCAAGAATAGAAAATAATAATTCTTCAGTTCCTGATTTGAGCTGTGATTTACTCTCAGTGTCTCATTTGATAAGAGAGACTAACTGCCTAGTAAAATTCGACGGGCCACTATGTTTGTTCCAGGACCCTATCACGATGCAGGTGATTGGTGCGGGTAGGCAATCTGCTGGCTTGTATTACTTTCAACACGCATCCGTGGGTTGTGCGTTATCGAGCGTGAAGGAATGTCAATTCGACCTATGGCATCGACGTCTTGGGCATCCGTCACCAAAAGTTTTATCTTTCTTACCAGTTGCTAGTGATAGCAAATCTAGTGTTTTGAATAATGGGCCTTGTTCCATTTGCCTGCGTGCAAAATAGTGTCGTGCATCTTTTCCTTCGAGTACCAATAAAGCCACAGAATTATTTCAAGTTATTCACATCGATGTATGGGGTCCATACAGGACGCCTAGTTTGGATGGTTTTACTTCATTTTTGACTATAGTGGATGATTTTTCTCGTGGTACTTGGGTCTATTTATTGCGTGCAAAATTTGAAGTGCCAACAATTTTCCGTCAATTTTATGCTTTGGTCGAACGACAGTTTAATAAAAAGCTAAAAATTGTACGGAGTGACAATGGAACTGAGTTTGAATGCCTCAATTTATTTTTCCGTGAGCATGGTATCTTACATGAGACATCGTGTCGTGGGACACCACAACAAAATGGTAGGGTGGAGCGCAAGCATCAACATATTTTAAATGTTGCTCGCGCCCTACGCTTTCAAGCGTTTCTCCCGATCAAGTTTTGGGCGGAGTGCATTCTTGCCACTGCGTATCTCATTAATCGGACTCCTTCCACTGTGTTGAAGGGCAAGACTCCTTACGAGCTCATGTTTGGGTCTTCACCGACGTTCAATTCCATTCGAACCTTTGGTTGCTTGTGCTATGTTCATAATCAGAATCGTCACGGAGATAAATTTGAGTCTCGGAGTATGCCGGGCATTTTTTTAGGCTATCCCCACGGGAAGAAAGGGTGGCGTGTCTACTGCTCGAGCACTGGAAAATTTCTAATATCTCGTGATGTAATATTTCATGAAAATGTTTTTCCATTTCAGGAAGGAAATTCTATGCCTACTGTTTTTCCTCCTCAAGATGTTCCAGCGGCTGTCTCCCATTTAATTTTTTTAGACGATGAGGATGATGTTCCAGCGGCTGTTTTGTCATCTCCATCCACGCAGATTTCAGCTTCTCCACACACGGATGAATCACAGTCTACTGGGCAGTCTACTGGACCTGCTTCTGCGCACACAGATGAACCCCAAACTGCTGCCGATGTCCAGCCGGTACTGCCCGATGCTCTGCCAGTGCCTTCAAGTGTTGAATCAGTACCTGTTATGGGTCGCGGTCAGCGACAACGCACACCGAATGTGCGTCTAGCTGATTACCAGACCTATGCCGTTAAACGTGGTGCTTCCACTACGGTTCAAAATTGTAAGTATCCTTTGACACATTATATTGGATATGCTAAGTTTTCGGCAAGTCATAGGGCTTACTTGGCCGCTGTGGACTCTGGTCGTGAACCCCAATTTTATAAGGAGGCTGTCAAGTTATCACAATGGCGGGACGCCATGTCGGCCGAGATCGCAGCACTGGAGAAAAATGATACTTGGCAACTTGTTCCTTTGCCACGTCACAAAAAGGCATTGGGTTGCAAATGGGTGTATCGCATCAAGCGCAAGTCCGACGGTTCGATCGAGAGATACAAAGCTCGATTGGTTATTTTGGGGAATCATCAAGTAGAAGGTATTGATTACAAGGAAACTTTTGCCCCCGTTGTTAAACTTACTACAGTTCGGGTTCTTCTTGCGGTTGCGGCTACACGCAATTGGGAGCTCCATCAGATGGACGTTCACAATGCGTTCCTTCATGGTGATTTGAGTGACGAAATTTACATGAGACCACCTCCGGGTTATCGCCCCTCGACACCGGATTTAGTATGTAAATTACGCAAATCTCTCTATGGTCTGAAGCAAGCACCGCGGTGTTGGTTTGCAAAATTGTCTGGTGCGTTGCGTAGATATGGCTTTGTTCAGTCTCACTCAGATTATTCATTATTCTCTTTTCACAAAGGCGACTATGTGGTGCACATTCTTGTGTATGTTGATGATTTGGTGATCGCCGGGAATAACTCTCTTGAAATTGATCGTTTCAAGAAATATCTTTCTGATTGCTTTAATATGAAAGATTTGGGTGTGCTCAAATATTTCTTGGGCGTTGAAGTCGCTCGGAATTCTACAGGTTTATTTTTGTGTCAACGCAAATATGCTCTTGATATTATCTCTGAGACAGGGTTACTTGGATGTCGTTCACTTGGAGCTCCGTTAGACCCTAATCATCACTTGGCTTTGGCTACTGGACCACTTCTTGACGACCCAGGAGCATATCGTCGTCTGGTGGGACGCCTTGTTTACTTGTCTGTTACTCGTCCCGATCTCTCCTATGCTGTACACACTTTGGCTCAGTTTCTTCAGGAGCCAAAAATTGATCACTGGAATGCAGCTCTAGGAGTGGTTCGTTATCTTAAGGGTACACCAGGACATGGCATTCTTTTACGTTCTGATAGTTCCCTTTTTTTGACTGGATGGTGTGACTCCGATTGGGCCGCCTACCCATTGACTCGTCGTTCTTTGACAGGATGGTTTGTACAGCTTGGCGTGTCCCCCATATCTTGGAAAACAAAGAAACAACCTACCGTGGCTCGCTCATCGGCCGAAGCTGAGTATCGCTCCCTTGCTGTCTTAACTTGCGAGCTCAAGTGGCTTCGTGGGTTATTACGTTTTCTTGATGTTCCTCATCCAGCTCCCATGCAGATTTTTTTGTGATAGTACAACAGCACTTCATATTGCTGCTAATCCAGTGTTCCATGAGCGTACGAAACATATCGAGATTGATTGTCATTTTGTTCGTGATGAACTCTTACGTGGCTCTATTCGTACATCTCATGTTTCAACTCATGATCAGTGTGCGAATATTCTAACAAAAGCTCTTGGAAAAGGACGGTTCGAAACTCTACTTCCCAAGTTGGGCGTTTCTCTGTTACACGCTCCAACTTGAGGGGGGGTATTAGAGGAAATTATATTGTTAATTATGGCAAAGCAAAATATGTGGAGAAATGTCATTATGGTAACGCAAGGCTTGGAAACCGTATGCATGAGTGGCGGCATGAATCCAGGACACTTATTTGGCTACACTTTTATTCATAATAGTTTTCCTTTTTATATACGATTTATGTATGATAGAATTGTAAAGTGATTTGGTTTCCTTACATAGTTTAGGCGTATATATACGTTGTAATGGGTTATTAACAGAGACACAACAGAATATATTTTTCCATATTGGATTGTTTCACTTTGTTTTTATGTTTGTAATGTTAAGATCGAATCGCATTAGAAATAATTTTTTTTAAATCCATTCAAAATATTGTATGGATGAAAATTTAATGGATCGACAAAAATTTTGTTTAACCCACGGGTTAGAACACTAGTATTCTAAACAAATACTCGTATGAAAGGAGTATTGCGTTAATCAATTGAAAGCTTTGTTATAAATAAAGAGAGAAAACTACTAAATTAAGAAATAATGTTATTATAAAAACAAAAATCTCGACTTTATATTTAAATTCATTCAAAAATTTCATCCTAAAATATTTATTTCATATTTTAATTTCTTAATTTAAATTAGGTGAAATAAGACACAAAATAAATACATATGTCAACTTTCTAAAGATAAGAGTCTCATTTTTATATATAAAAAGTTTATGGAAAGTTTAATAATTTTATTTTTAACAAAAATTAAAATTAAAGATTTATTTAAGTATATTAAATATTTACTAAATTTGTAATTCATTGCCTTTCATAAATTTCTAATAATCTTTTTTTGTGATTGTCTTACCTAAATAAATGAGAATTTGTGAAAAACTAATGTCACATAGATATCCCACATGTCAAGATTTTAAAGAGCCACTTGTCATTTTTGTAAATAGTCACATGTCAAACTCTTAGAGTTAAGAGTCTTAAATTTATATATAAAGAATTTTCATAAAAAAGACTGTTCTTTCATTTTTCCCTCTTCCACCAAAATACTTTCATTTTCTATTAAAAAAACATTTCTACCCCTATTCTTTCTTACCCTACACATCATAGCATATTTTTTCTCTAATAATCTATCCATCACATCAAGAGTAAAATTGGAAGTCAACTACTCCCTCCGTTCCAAAAAGATTTACACCTTTCAAAAAAATTGCGTCCCACAATCTCTTACCCATTTCTATTAAAAAACCACTTTTATCCCTTACTTTTTCAAACCCTATCTATCACATCGTACCTTTTTTCTTATAATCTACACATCACATCCTACTTTTACACCTCAAATCAAGGTTATTTTTGGAAAGTCAACACAAAATTATCCCTTTCTAAATTTCCATCTTAGTCAAAATGTGTAAAACTTTTTGGACGGAGGAAGTACAATTTAAGACTTTCTCATTTTTGTATTTGGTCAAAATGAGAAGTGTTTTTCAAAAACGGAAGGAGTAGATAGATATAATGTGATATGTAGGTTAATATTGATTTTGTACTCTAGTTTGACTTTTATGAATCGAACAAGATAAACTTTGAGCTTCAATTAAATAAAAACTGTAACAAATATAAATCAAAAATTAATTGTATTAGATTTATCTTGTTGAAAACTTTCAAATGTTTATTTTATTAAATTAATACAAATATAAAGTAATTAAACTCAAAAGTTTGTCTAATTTGATTAAAAAATCAAACTACACAAAGACGGTTAGAAGTGCCAATGTCGGAAAAAGGATGAAATACCAAGCCACAAACATATATAGAAGAATGAAACTCTACCTATCAACTTAAACTTTTGAGTTAAAAGTCGAATTGGGTTTGATTTGAACAATCGGGTTCCAATTGGGTTGTCCATATTGTAGTTCGAGTTGTCTGATTGCCAATGAGTCTGTTCGGGTTCCAATTGGTCCAATATGGGCTATGGGGTTCCAATTTGATGAAATTGGGATGGTTTGGATTCTATATGATATAATTGGGGCTTGTTTGGGTGCCATTGGGTTGTAATAGTATATGTTTAATTAGACTGGGTTGACGTTATTAGATAGTTAATAGGCATTGTAATATCCTAACCTGCGTAGCCCAAATACACAAACCAACGGATAGAGTTGTCACTAGATTGCATAGTTTTGAGAACCGGACCGGGGACCGAACCGGTCAAGGTACTGGTTCACTGGTTCAGTGATCGAACCAGTGGTTCAACTGGTCGAACCGGTGGTTTAAACATATTTAAAAATTATATAAATATAAATATAAATATAAATATTTATAAATATAAATATATATATATATATATATATATATATATATAGACATATTCTCATTTATAAATACATAAAGAAAGTAATTTATAATATTTGACTAAAATTATATTAACATACTTGAGTTATTTTATTAAATTAAAAGATAAAATTTACATGTTAAAAATAATATTAAAATTTTATTAAAAACATATCAATGATTTTGTGTTTGACTCATAGCATATAATACTATGTATTATATTTTTAAAATTGAAAAGTAATTTTTATACAATCTTTTTATTAATTATGAAATATTATAAACAAATATACGAATTTGAAACAACAAACACCGTTAGTTAGATGGTTAGGAGCTCAACCAAATAGCTAAGAGGTCTTGGGTTCAAACCTCTATGGAGTGAAGTTTTGAAAAAAATTGCAAAAAAAAAGTGGTCGGACCGGTCCGACCGGCCGGTTCTCAACGGTTCACACCGGTTCGGACCGGTTCGAAGCGTATTACGGTCTAATGGGCCGGACCAGACCGGTTGGACCACCGGTTCGTCGGTTCACGGTCCGAACCGGCCGGTCCGGTCCGGTTTTTAAACTATGCTAGATTGTCATCCAAACACAATAATTTTTAAAACATTTTAGAAAACCCAATTCAAAACATTATTTAAATATCCATCGGAGTCGAACAAAACGGTATAGAAGCTTTAAGTATTTACTTCAAACATACCTTTGGGTCGTTTGCCCAAAAATATACTAAATTCGAATATAAAATTAAATTAAAGAAACTCCTTAAGCCAACATTCATCCATCTCCTCGTCCTCGCTGCCCTCCATGATTATTTCCTTATGTGTAATTCTTGTTACCTACGTGTAGCAAAGAGGAAAAACAATTGCACGCTCAACATTGCTGCATAGTGAGAAATATTTAATGTTTGACTACACATATAGATGAACTCACTAGCTCATAATTTCATACAATATCATGCACACAAGTACAACATTAATAATATCACATAACAATCATCAAATGAACTCATAAGTCTCAAATCATAATCCTAGTCCTTCCTAATTAGTTGCTCATAACTTATATTCTGGACTAAGGCCAACACATCCTTATTAACAACCTTATCTTATGACTTAGTCACTACCTACGGTCATTACTCAAGTCTACTTTAGTGAACACATTACAATACTGTTGGTCTTATGGGGGACCATCGATCACCCTTAGGGATTCGCTATTGTGCTTAGCACGGTATCGGGTATTGACAGCCCAACCTGACGAGGTACATGAGTCGCGTATCTTACGAAGCCCCTCCTGTCCATCCACCGCTCAGTAGTGGGGCTCTGCACTGCCGTAGTGAACTATAGGGGGTGCCCTATAGGAATCTACCTCAGCTTGGGGCTATAGAGAGATGTGGTAAATACAAAGTGTCCACCTTCCTATCACCAATTTGTTTTAGAAAGCATTTGGCACCTCTTTAACTCCAGAACTCTGTGGTTAAGCGTGCTGGAACAGGAGTAGTCCCAAGATGGGTGACCCACTGGGAAGTTCCAGAAAAAATGATCCTACAAATACAACACAATTTTGCCAATGAAAGAGTTCATCACTAGGTGGGTGGTATCCATGTCCCCTTCGGAACGACAATTTGTGGATCTCGTGCGTACATTTTAAGTTTTTAACGCGCAACCATCAGATATCAGATCCACCAGGCTGATTCTACCTATTAACACTTACACTTACATTCGCACTACATCAGTCTTAGAGTTTCTCCAGGTAGCCTTATCATTCAATTTTAACATCTCTACATATTCATGTGTATATCAACAAAAATCTCACCTCATTATATTCGTTCAAGGCATATCAAAATTGTATTTAAAATATATCAAGAGAACAACAATAACTAAATAGATCATCATGCAATTCAAATAGCGGTTAGCGTAGGGCGTAAACACCTTCCACTTCTTGTCATGTAGCATACAAGACCTCGAAATTGATTCAGGATTCGAATCGGAACAAGCAAACAAGAGAAAGGGCGGCACGGGGTCTGACACGGTACCTATTATGATACCTTAGTACCGTTATGTGGTACCCTGGTACCGTCGGTCTAATACCCCTGACTATCCGGGTCAAGTACCGTCTAGCATTGGGAAAGCACGAAAACAACAGAGTACGATTCCAGTTCCAAACCCTTCAATACGTATAATGTTTTTAGAGATTATTAGCATACAAATCACGCAAATTAGAGTAAGAAAACGTACTTGGCCTTCTTCATTCAATCAATTCCAATACCACAATATATTTTTAATAAATCATAATTTGAATCATAACCAAATAAATCACCTAAACGAATCTACGATTAACTCTGTATACGAATTAGCGCTATCTATGATTTCTAGGCTAGAACAAACCCATGAACTCATTCCCCAAAACAATTCTTAAATTCCACATAATCAATCATACAAAATTACGTACGTGAATTTCAAATCCATACAAATAATCTAGTGTTAGATGTCCATGTATTCACCTTGATCAAGTTTTGAAACGAGAGGGGAATGTGTAATGATGATCGGCGAAGACTTACAGTGTTGGAAATGAGAGATTTGGCAAAGAAAATGGTGTAGACGATGTCTAATTTTGACGATCAATGGTCTAAGTACGGTAAAAGGCTTGTGTGTTCCGGAAACTCCGTTTTTCTTAACGTTTGCAAGTTCTTCTTTCCGACCACACACTGAGAAGCTTCAAAACCTATTTGACTTCCGATAATTGGCGTTCATTTATTTTATTTTACTTTCTAGTTCATTTCTTCATTGTAAAATCCAAACATATTACAATTTCAGATAGTTCTTTTCATTTCTTAGCTTCTTTCCTGTGTAATCTCTATACAACAAAATTTTCCAACATTTTATTATGGGACCAAATAAATATGAGTTGTCTTTCGTGATCTTAAGATCCACATGTCAAATGTAGATCTTCTCACACTTTTTATAGACTGACTAATTTTTTTTTACAAGTCCCAATGTTTTAGTATATTAATGCACTAAGGTCTATAAAATGAACATGAACTTTAGAATTACGTAAGAATTTGTCAAGGAATAAATATCGTTGTGCATGAAACTTCCACTAAGGACTTGTTCTTTTTAACTTATTATTTGATTGGTTCTAACTTGATTCGGTTATGTTTTGATTTGATCTGATTATAGTTATATCTAAAATTGTCTTTGATCTGATCTTATTTGAATAAGAATAAGTAATACGAAAGAAGTAAAAAAGAATAACTTGAAGAGAACAACTACAAATTAACCCTTGTTTTTATGCAAACAACCTATCATTTGTACTATTCTCTTTATCCCTAAAAGAATGTCATAGTTCAAAGATCACGAAGACTTTGAATTGGTTTTTTACATAATTTTCAAAGATATGTAAATTTTATTTTTATTTTTATACCGATCTTTTACTAAAATTAATAAAAAAATTTAAATTTCCTTCGTCCAAAAATTGTCTTTTCGTTCACTATTCACATGGTCAAACTTTATTCACGTCGTTGACCTATTTTCATTACTCTTTTGATAAAATAATATAGTCATGTTCCTTCTAGTTTTGAAAATCGTTTAATATTTTTAATATGTAATTTCTATTTTTTAATTTTACACCACGTTTATATAAACTAATTTAAAAATAATTTTTAATCAAATATCATAACGCGCAATAAAATGATAATTTTTGGACGGAGAGAGTAATTTTATTTGTTTGTGTGGCAACAATGTTGTATTGACAGGAACCTACCATGTCTACCGTGTGAATAGGTACCACATTATGCACCAGTGACCCTACCACGTGTAGCACATACCGACTGTCTACAATTTGTTTTACTCGGCAGCCCGTAACTTCCCGAGTACAATGCCATGGTGCGCCTAGTTCAAAGCATGGAGCTTCTCCAAGTGCTAGTCGCCCAACTTCACTCTCATACCAACTAGAGGTTGATATTATACTTGAATTTACTTCCTCTCAGCTAACTATATGACCGGTGCTGGGTATCAGAGATGGGGTGTAATTTTTTTATTTGGAGTACAATGTTTTTTTTCAAAGATACCTAATTTGATTGATTTTATTTTTAATTTAATTTATTCACTTTGTTAGTCTATTTTTAACCAAACTTTATTTACTTTGTTAGTCTATTTTTGCTACTCATTTCATAAAATAATATAGTAACGTCTCCACTAGTTTTTTAAAGTGTATATTTTTTTATGTAGTTTTTTAATATGTAATTTTTATTTTTTAATTTTCACACCATTTTTCATAAAAAATAGCTCAAAAATAATTACAATCAAACATTCTAGCATGCAATGAAAAAGTTATTATTGGATGGAAGTAGTATAAACTAGGCACAAGTTAATAATAATAGTTATCTAGACTTAGAGCCTGTTCTTTGGAACTAGAAAAAATAGCTGGATGTTGGAAGAAACTGAAAGAAACTTGAAGAAACTTCCAAAAATATGAAAATCTAAAAAAATTTTAAAAAAATTATTTAGTGTATTTTTAAAAAAACCTAAAAAAAACTTTAAAAAACTTTAAATTTTTTTTAAAAAACTCATTCTAATTCTTGTTATTATTATTATTATTATTATCATCATCATCATCATCATCACCATCATCATCATCATCATCATCACGTTATCTTAATGAATGTCTTTAAGATAAAAAAAAGTTGTTATTTTTCATACAAAAAAAACTACTTTTGAAAAAAATAAATATAATATAAAGTAAGCACAATTATCAAAATGTTAATAGTTTAAAAAGTTATTATAGTTACGTTGCACCTCAATTTATTTATGCAGTATTTATTATTTATAATATATTTTTAATTATGCTTTATATATTACAAGATTTTATTTTAAATATCAGTCATGTCACATAATGTAATCAAACCTGTATTTTCTTTCATGATTGACATTTTATTTTTATTGTAACTCCTATTTCTCGAATAAAGACATTGAACTTTTTTTTGCACATTTTTTATGTTTTCCTCATATTTTAGTCTTTTTTCTCTAAACTATATTGACTTTCAATTTTTTTTTAAAAATTAAAAAAATGAGAAAAATTTGAGTAATAAAGAGAAAGGTAAGATGTCTTATATAAAGTTAGATTAATAAAACATTTCATGTAACTATTTTATCTATACTTTCGTAATATAGTTTAAAATATTAATGTTTTCCTGTTTAATTTTATCATGTAGGTTAATATTAAAAAAATTGTCTTATTCACATTAAAAAGTTGAAGAAAAAATAATCAGTGTGAATTGTAAAAATAGTGAGATGAAAAAATAATAATTTATAAACTATAGTTATGAACATAATAGTTTTAATAATGATGATGATGATGACATTAAAAATATATCGTTTTTAGAGTAATTGGTTGAGAAGTAGAAAGAGTTTGAAGAAAAAAATGAGAATAGTTAGAAGAAACTAGAAGGAACTAAAAGAAACTGGAAGAATCTGAAGGAACTGGAAGAAAAATAGAAGTTAAGAGTTCAAGTACCAGAAATAAGAGTTCAATAAGCTCTTATTTCTGATTTCTCATAATAGGGATGGGACTCTGCTAAACTTAAGGTCTCTGGAAATACCAGATGTAGAATCCACTTTTTGCCATATCCAAATTTAATTTACCTTTCTTGAGTGCTCTGAATTGAGAATGTATGAAAATATATCAAGTTATAATACTCCGTAAAATTTATTACTCCCTCCGTTCTTTTAAACCCTTCCTATTTTGACTTTGAGCCAAAATATGGAAAGTGTAATTTTGGTTGACTTTCCAAGTGATGGGTAAAAGTAAGATATGATTGTTTGGTTATTAGTAAAAAAGTATAATGTGATAGGTAGGTCATAAAAAAGTAGAGTTAAAAAGTGATTTTTTAATTGAAAGTAGAAGTGTTGTACAAAATTAGAAAAAAATGAAAGGGAAAGAGTTTTATGGAAGAGAGGTAGTATTATTCAAAAGAAAAAGGAGCATGTTACATGTATCCCAAAATTTATACCTCATTTGTACACCAAAGGTACACATTAACATTTGATGATTTACACTGACACAAAGTGTACACTGACACAAAATGTTGGTGCGTTAACAAAAATTAGCATTACACCAACACAAAATGTTGGTGCATCTTTGCGGTGTACAAAATGGGGTACAAATAGCATTTACCAAAGAAAAAAATAACTTACTCGACTCTACTGTGCTGGGTCGGCTTCAAAAACAGTACTGCATTGCTGGAAATCCCATTATTTCTCCGCAAGATGAGCACTTGATTGAACCTTCCTTGGCTCTCCTTACATGCATGTCTCTTTGAGAGACTCCATTATATAACTTGGCCACATGCAAGTAGAGTTGTAACTAATTAAACCCGCATACAATTAAAATTAAAACATGATGAAGCTCATCATCACTCCCACTCTTCTTCTTCTTCTTCCTCTCATTGCTTTCATATTCACAATCACTGAGGCCTCCACCATTGAACACAACAACACTGGTTCAGTACTCACCATTGATCCCGCCAAACTGAGCTTTAAGTTTGCAGTGTCTTGGCCACAGGGCTTCTGCAAGATCAACACATGCTGGCATCCGCCAGGCAAGCCATTGGTCTTGCCTAAATTCTTCACCATCCACGGTCTCTGGCCCAAGTACAATGGACAATGCACCGATTCGCACCAGAAATACGACTTCAAACTACTTCATCGCATCTATGGAAATCTTAAGACCTATTGGCCTAATATTAAGAGCAGTCTCAGGCCAGAGAAGTTCTGGGGCGACGAGTGGAAGAAACATGGCATAACATGTGATATATTCGGCGTGGAGGAGTATTTCGCAGCGGCTCTGGACTTGTATCAAAGAGTCCAGACTGGTCTAAACCAGCTAAAGGACCGTACGTAAAAATACACACACACTATATTACTCCTTCCGTTCTCAAAAATACTTACTCTTTCATTTTTTTTCACTTCCAACGAAACACTTCCACTTTCTATTACAAAATCATTTTTACCCTTACAGCCTTACTTTTTCATACCCTACCTATCACATCATACTTTTTCTCTAATAATCTATCCATCACATCTTACTTTTACCCATCATATCAGGGGCAAAATTGAAAGTCAACTACTTCGTATATTTAACACTTTCTTATTTTGGATCCAAGTCAAATTAGGAAGTCTTTTTACAAACAGAGGGAGTATTTGAGTAACACGATGTTTGCTAATTTAGATTGAATTGTTGTGGCACGTTGACGGATTATTGATATTTTGTTTCGGGTTTTGGATCATCAGAACCGTGGAAAAATACGGCCGATTCCATTCGGAACTTGAATGCATTTCAAGGGAAGAAACCATTTGTGTTGTGCAAGGAAGTGGGTGTGGGCGCGGGAAAGAAAAACTATTTGGAGGAATTAAGGTTTTGTGCCAATGGGTACAAACAGTTAATCAACTGCGAACCTCAATCTTTACAAGACCAGTACTGTTCCGAACCGTTCAAATATAGTGGAGCATTCTTGGAGTCCTCGCTCGGCATGGTTGATCAAGAAGAGTTCGTGGGAGGTGTTGTGGCATAATAATATGATGTTATGGACTTATGATTAAAATAAATAAATGGTTGTAAAATGCCATCTTACCCATTGGGTGTACCCTCGAAGAGAATTAAAATTGCTAAATCAATAGAATTGGGTAAGAAGTTTAAAAAAATTGCATAAAAAGAAACACTCTTTTCATATTCCCATGCAAAAACATTTTTAATTCCTATTTTTATTATTCAATTTCATTAAACAAAGCAAATTTATTTTCATCAATTGTTATCTAAAATGAAAAAAATCACTCGTGTATGTGTGTATCTAAACTAAATTCCATTTGTATTTTTTAAAAATAAACTCCATAAAATTAAACAGTTTACTTCAATTAATTTTTTTAGAAATAAAGTTCGGAAAAAGTACTTTTACAACAAAATTTAATATAATTTTGAAATTTTCTGTTTTTTAAATAATTTAATAATTGACAGGGGTGGAGGTGTGTTCGCGTGGGGTGCAGTTGAAGGGGGTGGAGGTGTGTTCGGGTGGGGGCGGGGTGGGGCGTTTACTGGGGGGCTAGAGAGGGTAGGAACCGTCAATTTACGAACGGGACACCGAAGCTCCCGGGTGATCCCATGACATTGCCGGGCAATGTCATGAGAACCGCTTATTTTATCAAATGACTAACAAAAATCGAGAAAGAAAATAAATAAAATATAATCCTGTAAATAATCAACAAACAATTTAAAAATTAGAATGGATGGGGTACACTTTTAAATGAGAGAAAACATTGTCTAAGTACTAAGATTACGTTTGTTACACGAAATTAGAATTGAATTGGATTAGAATTCTATGGAATTTAATTGGAATTGATATAGAACTGTACTGGGTATTATAATTACAAATTCTTTGTTTGGTAAAACAAAATTATACACTAAATAAAATTGATATAAAATTATACTTAGATATATAAAATTGATATAAAATAAAAAAAACCTAACTCTTTTAAAACCTCATTCAAACCTAAACTCTAGTAGAGAGATGTAAAAATATAAAATTTAAAATTTAAAAAATTCAATTGTAAAATTTAAAAATAAAATAATAAAATATAAACTAAAAACTAAAAAAATAAAATTGAAAATTGAAAATTGAAAATAAAAATTTAAAATATAAAATTTAAAATCTCAAATTAAAAATTTAAAAATCAAAATTTAAAATTTAAAGTTTAAAAACTAAACTATAAAAACTAAATTGTTAATTTAAAACTTAGAAAATATAATTTAAAATAATTAAAATATTTAAAATATAAATTTAAACTTTAATTTTTTATTGAATATCATAATTTAAAATTCAAAAAATTTATTTTATTTATTTTAAATTGGAAAATTTTAAAATCTTATTTTAATTTTTAATTTAAAATGTTAGTTCTTGATTTTCAATTTAATTTTTTTGTTTAAATATTAAGTTATTAGTTTTTTAATTTTAAATTTTCAATTTTGAATTTCAAATATTAAATTTCAAATTTAGAATTTCAAATTTAAAATCTAACATTTTAAATTTAAAATTTTAACTTCTAAATTTTAAAGTTCTTATTTCAAAAGTTTAATTTAAAATTTTAATTTTTTTAATTCAAATTTTATATTTTGAATCTAAACTTTAAATTAAATTTTAGAATTTAGGTTTTAAATTTTAAATTTTAAATTTTAAATTTTTGATTTTAAACTTTAAGTTAAAATTTAAAATTAGACTTTGAGTTTTTTTTTAAATTTTTAATTCATAAGACTTACCCCTTCGGTCTCCATTTTTATTACGATTTTTTTATCTCTCTTCTTTATAACTTTTGTTTGTATGTGTATTTTTATTTATTATTTGACAAAATAAAATATACTTTTTATATCGGGTTTTGTAGAATGTTTGATGCAGTTTTTTAACATATAAATTTTATTTCTTATTTATGTACTAATTTGTAAATAAAATGATTTCAAAATTCGAGAAATTTTACTTTGTAATTTCCATTTTGTAATCAAAACAGGGAAGAGCACTTCTTTGTTATAACCATGAAAAGATCTGCATGATTTGTTTTGACCCATAGAATTCAAATTCTTGATTTCCAATTGTTTTCATGTGCTATGAAATTGAAATATGGAATTAGAAGAATTGGAAATAGAACTCAATTTCAATATCACATATTTTTGTGCTACCAAACAAAATATTTGGAATTGGATTTTTCAATTCCAATCCTGAAAAGGTTAGGAATGATTGATATTATCCAATTATTTCATTTTTCTTCTAATTGGAATTGAATTTTTCATTTTTTCTATTTTTCCGAATTACTACCTCCTTCCCAGAGTATTTATCCAGTTTGACTTTTTCTAGTCAAACTGGACAAACTTTAAACTCCAATTACTCTCAATGTATATTGCATATAAGCATAATTAAAACACAATTTTGAAAGTTCTCAATACGATAAATCCAATAAAGTCATTTTTATGTTAAAATACATTACGATGTTTATTTAATTGAAGCTCAAAGTTTGTCCCGTTTAACTCAAAAAAGTCAAACTGGACAAATATTCTAAGATGTAGAGAGTAAAAGAATAGTTTGAGCTTAAGATCACACGTAGTAAGGGAGAAGGCGCCCAGGCCTATGGGCTATGTTGCATTGCTGCCTAATAGGGGTGGGCGTAAAATCCGTTCCCGTTGGACCGTTCCGAAAAATCCCGGATCCGTTTTGTAATTGTACCGATATATTGGGACACAATTTTTTTATCCCGAACCCGTTCCGTCCCAATATCAAATGAGACACGAGCGGGACAACTTATATTTATACCGATTCGTCCCGTTTGTCCCGTTTCATCTACTCTATTAATATATAATATTTGTTCTAGTCCAAAATTCAAATACGCTCATTCTTTAATTAATTAGTTATTTAATTAAGTTAACTTTATATGCTTGAAATTTATTTGGACCCGTTCCACTCATTGTTTTTTGTTGGATGACTAGATGTTTCTTTTTTTGAATGAAATCTCACACTCTCTCCCTTCTTATATTTGCGATTAGGACAAAGTAGGACGACCCGAATCCGTCCCGTTTTGTTTCGATCCCGAATTTAATGGGACAAACCGGGATAAGATTGTAATCCGAACCGTTCCGCACCGTTTATATATAACGGGACAAGACGTGGGACAACCTAAAACCCGGATCGACGATCCGTGCCCACCCCTAGTGCCTAATGCCTATGCCCATGTGTGAAAGTATGGGGAGTAAATTGACGCTCAATTTTATCGGATCCAAGTTAGAATTTTTATCTGATCCAATTCCCCTTCGCAATCTGTTCTGCTCCTTCATTTTTTATTACCACCTCCACAATAATCCCGTTTTGCTCCTTCCCACGAGTTTGTTCATTTTGATTTTTTATACTCAAAATTAATTACTCCGGGGTATACGTCAAGGGCCTGTTTGGTATACGCAATTTAAACTATGGAATTGAAATTGAAGACTTCAATTCCAATTCTGGTGTTTGGTAACACAAAAATTATATGAATTTTGAATGGATAGAGCAAAAACTAAATTGGAATTGGTGAATTCAATTATATGGAATTGAATCCTATGGAATTTCAATTCCAATTCCATCAATTCCATATACCAAACAAACTCTAAATATTGATCTGAATTGACTACATTAGGTCAAATTTAGATAAATACTCTAGAACAGAGTATTTAAACAAACAAAAATAATTAGAATTTTAAAATAATTAAAAATAATTAAATGTTTTTGTAATTTTTTGTGAAATTATGTTTTTTTTTCAAATAATGTTAATTGTTTTTATTTTTTATGTAATTTTTTTTATTTTAGTGAAATTATACTTCCCCTGTTCCAAAGTGATTTACACTTTAACTATTTAAGAATTTCGATAACTTTTGTTTGCTCATGTGTTTTTATTGGTTATTTGATAAAATAAAATAATATTGTCATATTTTATTTTATAAAAATTTTGACGTAATTTATAAATATGTAATTTGTATTTTTATATCTATACTAATTTTTAGATATTATAATCCTAAAAAAATGAAATTTTGCAAGTTGTTTGAAGTGTATAAATGAATTTGGGCAAAGAGAGAATTTGTTTTATGTTTTACTCCTCCTTCTGCAATAATGTTCCCGCTCATTATTCACATGACTAAATTTTATTTATTTTTGGTGAATATTTGTTGCTCATTTGACAAAATAATATAGTCATGTCACCTCAAATTTGTAAATTTTTTTATTTAGTTTTTAAATATTTAATTTTTTTAATTCCATATATTTTTCATATAAAATAACTAAAAAATAATTTTAGTCAAACATCATAACGCACAATAAGAATATTATTATTAGATGGATGGAATATTTAAAATGGATTATTAAAAAAATGTAATCATAGAAGGACTTTAATTAGGACACATGTTTTTTGTCATGTAGCTTCTCGATAAATTGATTGAAAACGCTTCTCCTGAATATAATTACACATGATGATTTAATGACCTTTCTTTTTATGTTGACAACAACCTACCATTAGTACGATGTCACAAGTACTTCTTAACACTATGCAGAAGGACATAACCCTACCACGTGGAGTACGGAAACTTTCTACTCCCTCTCTGAAAAAAATTAAAAAATATTCTTAAATAATTACGGAGTATAAAACCTAAAGAAAGAATCAAAATATAAGTTTTATATTTTTATCTCAAAATAGAAATTTATCTTGTGATAATGTCACACTGTATATGGACATTTTATACTCCCTCCGTCCTAAAATTAATTTCTCATTTGACTTTTTGCGGTCTCCAATGCGATACTTTGACTATTAATATCTCTATTTTTATATGAATATATATTATAAAAATAATATATTTTAAAACTATGTTTCAAAATAAATCTATTGATAATAAATTTATATGAAAATTCAATACTTTTTGTAATATACAGTCAAAGTTTAAAAAGTTTGACTCCAAAAATCAAAATGAGAAATTAATTTTAGGACGGAAGAAGTAATACCTTATGATAATCTATATGGTCATGATTGACTATATATATATATATATATATATATATATATATATATATATATATATATATGTATGTATGTATGTATGTATGTATGTATATATATAGGGGTCGGTTCCTGTGAAAATGCACCTTGTAGAGAGAAATGAGAATAAAATCTAGTC